GCAATAGGCCTGGTGGCCAAGCCGCCCCCGAGTGCTCTTGGAGCAGGGGGCCGCGGGCCTTGCCGCCGCACAGAGCGCTCCGGGGCACAAGCGCGCTTCTCGGCATTGGCCTAGTTTCACATCAGGCTGCGTACACGTCAGTGCAAAGCGCAGGCAGCGGTGCCTTGGGGCCGGAGCACCTACCGGGGGAAATGAGCTGGTCAATAGGCCTGGTGGCCAAGCCGCCCCCGAGTGCTCTTGGAGCAGGGGGCCGCGGGCCTTGCCGCCGCACAGAGCGCTCCGGGGCACAAGCGCGCTTCTCGGCATTGGCCTAGTTTCACATCAGGCTGCGTACACGTCAGTGCAAAGCGCAGGCAGCGGTGCCTTGGGGCCGGAGCACCTACCGGGGGAAATGAGCTGGTGCTCAGCAGCCGCTGGCAACCAAGCTCCCCTCTCTGCCTCCCTCTCTCGCCCGGGGCCTTGGTCCCGCTGCTGGCTCCTCCCCTCTCTTCTCTGAACGTCCCGCTCCTGTAAACAGCTGTTTCCTGGTGGCCGGGATGCTCCAGGAGGGAAGTCGGGCCGACGAGGAAGGGGTGGATGTGGGAAGGGGAAGGTGGGGTGAAATGGAGGTAGGGTAGTGTTGGACGGGTCAAGGGAGAGGACTTGTTTATATTGCTCTATATACATTGACATATAAATAAAATAATTATTTTCCAGTTGATCTGTAAGTATATGGTAAAATGAGAAAGTATGCAATTTTCAGTAACAAGTGTGTTCACTTGTATTTTAAAGTGATTTTTGTAAGCAAGCAGTTTGTGATGTAAATGGTGGGGTATGCAAGAGAAATTGTATCCTGAAAGGAAAGCTTTAAGAGACACTGCCTTTTAAAAAAAGCAACAAATGGTCTGGTACCACTTTATAGACTAAACAAAACATGTGGATGGTATCATGAGCTTTCCTGGACACAGCCCACTTCAGTTGACTGGAGTTATGAGTAGGGGATTTGAAAATTCGAAATAAATAGAAGGGAAAGGGGTGGGAAGAGAGTGATGCTCTGTCTCCCACCTCCCTTCCTGTTTTTTCTTTAAGTATCTGGAGAATGGGTGCTAAACCTAAGCAGATAAAGATCAAAGTCAATAGATAGATTGCTAAAACAGGAAGGATACCACTCAGAAAGTACTACCACCCCCACTAATACGTTTCAGTTCAGTGGGGATCTGGAATCCTATTTTTGCCGTCTCTGCCTGAAGGAATATTTCCAGCACACGGATATACAACACACTGCTCCCTCCTGCCAATCCCACAAGAGGAAGGCTTCTATGTGGACCCCCACCAACGGATGTAATGCAAGTCTGGATTTCTACACCGACTGCTTCTGCAAATGCACTCAGCTGACATTATCAGCAATCAACAACATATAACATACAACCTCAGTCACGCAGAACGCAATGCTATTCACAGCCTCAGAACCAATCCTCACATCAGAATCCAAGAAGCTGACAAAGGACGCAATGTAGTCATCATGAATAGGACAGATTATGAACAGCAGGTGAACAGACAATTCACTAACACCAGATTCTACAGGCCTCTCTCCTATGACCTTATGGAGGAATACCAAAAAACCATGAAAAAACTGCTCATGAAACACCCTGATGCTACTCAGGACCAAATTTACACTAATACCCCTCCTAATCCCCGACCAGGAACTTTCTATCTACTATCCAAAATACACAAACCTGGTAATCCCGGATGACCCATCATCTCCAGCATTGGGACATTTACCACAGGATTATTTGGCTATATCAACTCCCTCATACCCTGTGCTACCAACACTCCTAGCTACCTCCATGATACCACTAACTTCCTGAGGAAATTCCAGAACATCAATAGTCTTCCTGAAAATACCGTCCTGGCCACCATGGATGTAGAAGCCCTCTACACCAACATTCCACACAAAGACAGATTCCAGGCCATCAGGAACACCATCCATGATAACAACATTGCACATCTGATCACAGAATTCTGTGATTTTTGTCCTCACCCACAACTACTTCCAATTCAGAAACAATTCCTATCTCCAAATCAGCAGCACAGCCATGGGCACTCTCATGGCACCACAATATGCCAACATCTTCATGGCTGACCATGAACGTTTCCTCAGCTCTCGCCTCCTAACACCTCTACTTTACTTATGCTACATCGATAACATCTTCATCATATGGACCCACGGAAAAGAGACTCTTGAAGAATTCCACAAGTATTTCAACAACTTCCACCCCACTATCAACCTCAGCCTGGACCAGTCCACAAGGGAAATCCACTTCCTGAACACTACAGTACAGTTAAATAATGGATACATCTCAACCACCCTATACCGGAAACCCACCGACTGCTACACTTAACTTCGTGCTTCCAGCTCACATTCCAGACACATTTTTTCAGTCGATTGTATACAGCCACGCCCTACGATAAAACCAGATTTGCTCCGACCCCACAGACAGAGACAATCACCTACAGGATCTTTACAGAGCAGTCTTAAAACTGAAATACCCACCTGGGGAAGTGAAAAAAAATTGACAGAGCCAAAAAAGTACCCAGACATGAACTACTTCAAGACAGACCCAAAAGAGAAAATAACAGAACACCTCTTCTTGTTTCTTACAGTCCACAACTCAGACCCCTCCAATGCATTATACACAATCTACAACCTATCTTGGAAAATGATCCCTCACACTCAGAGGTTTTAGGAGAAAAACCTATTCTTGCTTACAGATAACCCCCTAACCTGAAACATATTCTTTCTGATAGCCATGTCACACAACCACTTCATAAGCCTCCAGGAACCAGCCCTGCAACCAAAAAAGATGCCAATTCTGCCCACATATCTACACTGATGAATTCATCACTGGAGCAAACAACATAAGCCACAAAATCAAAGGGTCATTTGACTGCACATCTAGTAATTTGATCTACGCCATCAAATGCCAACAGTGCCCCTCTGCTACGTATATTGGTCAAACTGGACGTTCTCTGCAGGAAAGAAATCAGATATACGTAAAGGGAATACTCAGAAGCCTGTTGGTGAACATTTCTGCTTGCCTAAACATAATCTGACAGATCTGCAGGTGGTGGTCTTGTCACAGGCCAACTCCTCAAGCCAAATTCATAGAGAAAGCCTGGAATTACATTACATACACAAATTCAATTCATATGCTAATGGACTGAATCTTGATTTAGGTTGGTGGGGCCTCTACCACTGAGTGTGCTAACTACTTTCTGAATAGTGATCATAGAATCATAGAATAATAGGACTGAAGAACTTTTCTTTATGCACCCTCTCCACGCCACTCATGCTTTTCATAGAATCATAGAATAATAGGACTGGAAGGGACCTCAAGAGGTCATCGAGTCCAGCCCCCCGCCCTCAAGGCAGGATCAAGCTCTGTCTACACCATCCCTGACAGATGTCTATCTAACCTGTTCTTAAATATCTCCAGAGAGGGAGATTCCACCACCTCCCTTGGCAATTTATTCCAATATTTGACCACCCTGACAGTTAGGAATTTTTTCCTAATGTCCAATCTAAACCTCCCCTGCTGCACTTTAAGCCCATTACTCCTTGTCCTGTCCTCAGAAACCAAGAGGAACAAATTTTCTCCTTCCTCCTTGTGACACCCTTTTAGATATTTGAAAACCGCTATCATGTCCCCCCTTAATCTTCTTTTTTCCAAACTAAACAAGCCCAGTTCATGAAGCCTGGCTTCATAGGTCATGTTCTCTAAACCTTTAATCATTCTTGTTGCTCTTCTCTGTACCCTTTCCAATTTCTCCACATCTTTCTTGAAATGTGGCGCCCAGAACTGGACACAGTACTCCAGCTGAGGCCTAACTAGTGCAGAGTAGAGCGGCAGAATGACTTCACGAGTTTTGCTTACAACACACCTGTTGATACAACCTAGAATCATATTTGCTTTTTTTGCAACAGCATCACACTGTTGACTCATATTCAACTTGTGGTCCACTATGACCCCTAGATCCCTTTCTGCCATGCTCCTTCCTAGACAGTCGCTTCCCATCTTGTATGTATGGAACTGATTGTTCCTTCCTAAGTGGAGCACTTTGCATTTCTCTTTATTAAACCTCATCCTGTTTACCTCTGACCATTTCTCTAACTTGCTAAGGTCATTTTGAATTATGTCCCTATCCTCCAAAGAAGTTGCAACCCCACCCAGTTTGGTATCATCTGCAAACTTAATAAGCGTACTCTCTATCCCAATATCTACATCATTGATGAAGATGTTGAACAGTATGGGTCCCAAAACAGACCCTTGAGGAACTCCACTTGTTATCCCTTTCCAGCAGGATTTAGAACCGTTAACAACAACTCTCTGACTACGGTTATCCAGCCAATTATGCACCCACCTTATCGTGGCCCTATCTAAGTTATATTTGCCTAGTTTATCAATAAGAATATCATGCGAGACCGTATCAAATGCCTTACTAAAGTCTAGGTATATGACATCCACCGCTTCTCCCTTATCCACAAGGCTCGTTATCTTATCAAAGAAAGCTATCAGATTAGTTTGGCATGACTTGTTCTTCACAAACCCATGCTGGCTATTCCCTATCACTTTATTACCTTCCAAGTGTTTGCATATGATTTCCTTAATTACCTGCTCCATTATCTTCCCTGGGACAGACGTTAAACTGACCGGTCTGTAGTTTCCTGGGTTGTTCTTATTCCCCTTTTTATAGATGGGCACAATATTTGCCCTTTTCCAGTCTTCTGGAATCTCCCCTGTCTGCCATGATTTTTCAAAGATCATAGC